GGTCATATGATGAAGATTTTTCCATGCACATGGATATCTATTTTTTCTGATTATATCTTTACCTGCATATCTAATCTTAGATAAGCTACAATGAGGCATACATATACTATTATGTTATTATTGTTTTGTTGGTATTTTGATTATGGACCTAAAAGACAAGAGAGAAAGAAAAAGCAGTCTGATTATATTTCAAGTTAGAATCAATAGCATCAAGTTAAATTTTAAGTTGTGTTAGAGAAAATGTGAATTTGAGATTTTTATGCCTGTTTAGGCACCTACTCAACAGGATCAAGCAAGCTATTTTCTCTGTAACATATCATGAATATTATTTATTTTGATATTATGTTTTCCATGCACATGGATATCTATTTTTTCTGATTATATCTTTACCTGCATATCTAATCTTAGATAAGCTACAATGAGGCATACATATACTATTATGTTATTATTGTTTTGTTGGTATTTTGATTATGGACCTAAAAGACAAGAGAGAAAGAAAAAGAAGTCTGATTATATTTCAAGTTAGAATCAATAGCATCAAGTTAAATTTTAAGTTGTGTTAGAGAAAATGTGAATTTGAGATTTTTATGCCTGTTTAGGCACCTACTCAACAGGATCAAGCAAGCTATTTGCTCTGTAACATATCATGAATATTATTTATTTTGATATTATGTCATGGGGTTCCACAATCCACATTATAGCTTTTGAAAACGTATATGGGCTGCAACCAGAACAAACGTATATGGGTTGTCATACATTTTGAACTTTTTCTGTTCCTAACTGCCTAGGCTTCATACATCAAAGCATAATGCTGGTTTAGACTTTAGAACGAAAAATCATCTTTATTATTGATTCATTACCGGCAATCGCTAAATTTAAAATTTCAAATAGAAATGTTGAACATAAAATGATTCATCTAAACATTACTCTCTATCTATCTATCTATGAGACCTCTTTATTTTTTTTTAAAAAATATAAATATGTTTATTTTTTAATTTTTTAATTTTACATCTCCAACATTCAATTTAACACTTTCTTCTTCTTTTTCACACATATTTCTTCAGTTTTCACACTATTGCCCTTCTTCTCTCTTCTTTTAATTTTCACATGCATATGAGATATGAAACTAGTTTTCAACATCATTATAGGTGCGCGTGTGACTTTCTTGACAATGTTAAAGGTGTCAAGCCAAGTGTGTTTTTTCTTCAAGCACTTCCATTTACATGTCTAAAAAATACATCAAATAATTTTAGTGTTTCAAAAAGTAATTTTCAAAATAGTAAAATTAGTGTTCCGGAAAACATTTTTCATAATTGTATCTTTAACATATTTTTGAAAAGTACTTTTTAGAATACTAAATTTACTATTATAGAAAGTACTTTCCGTAATACTAAATTTATAATTTAAAAAAAAAACTTACTAGAATTATGTAAAACAACACACTTTTAAAAAGTACTTTCCAGAATATTAATTTTATTATTTCGAAAAGTACTTTCCAGAATATTAATTTTATTATTTTGAAAAGTACTTTCTTGAAAATTTTTCTAAAATACTAATTTAACTATTCCTGAAAGTACTCAAAAATAGTGAAATTAGTGTTTTAGAATGTTTTTCCATAACATTAAATTTAATGTTAAGGTTTTCAGAGTATGAAATGAAAGGAAGTGTTAAAAGAACAAATGCACTTCTAGCTCGATAGAACTTGTCAAAGAAGCTGGACATGCAACACTATCACACATCAATTATACAATCCAGTGCATATGAAAAGTGAAAGAGGTGAGGAAAAAAATAATATAAAAATTAAGAAAACTAAAACTACCTACTAAAATAAGTAGGGAATGAGAGAAGATAAATCAATGCATGTTAAAACTGAAAAGGAAAAGGAAGAAGACGTGTGGAAAAGGAAAAAAAATTAGTAAATTGAAAGTTAGAAATGTAAACTTAAAAAATTGAAAAAGATTAAGAATATTTAAAATTTTAAAAGAAAATATTAAGACTTACTTATAAAAAAAATGAGATGTATATATTTCACGAGTGTTACCGTAATCCATGAAAAGGGGAGGGCCCATTTTTTACGCATATCTGAAATTGGAATATGTGGGCTTCTCAGTTCCCTAAACGCTTCATTTTTATTTATTTTATTTACGACCCAAAAAGAAAAGGGACATCATAATAGAGTACTTTTTGGACCCAAACTTCAAAAGAAAAACAGACGAACATGGGCTTAGTGGTGGCCCAATAGGAGTCCAAAGTTAAACGACAACTGATAAAGCGTCGTTAGGTCGATTGCGGTGTGTGAGCGTCAACAATGGCTTCTTCGTCTTCAACATCGGGTTCAGCTTCAGGTTCGGCGGTGACGGAGCGAAGAGGAATACCAGGAGCTCAGTTCGTTGAAGATGTTCAAACTTATCTCACTCAATCGGGTCTCGATGTTGGCTCAGCCCTCGCTTTTCTCCAAGAAAGGTCTTCGTCTTCATTATCCCTTTTACTTTCACAGTTTCCACATTCTCCAAACCTAAATATTTAATGATCTGCTTTGTATTATCTTCTGTCTCCCTTGAAATTTCGCTTCCTTTGTTCATTCCTAGACTTTTCGGATTGGATCAGTAGGGTAATTATCTTTAGATACGAGTTCAGATTGTTGTTTGAGTTGGTTCTTAGTTTCTTTTCTGTGCCTTGTAATCGAGAGAATATACTGAGATTCAAGAGTGTGGTTTGTGGCGTATATATGAGTAGTCTATGGTGTGAAGTTATGAGGTTTTCAGATGCATGTGTAGAGAGTTGCAGAAATTGATGTGAATGTGTAAGTGTGTTGACAGTAATAAAGTAATGGAATGATAAATGAATATTTTTTTTATGCAAAGGTAGGGAGTAGGGAGGGATAACAAACTCAGCTGAATGTGAGCTGAAGAAGATCAATGTAGATGGTTTTTAGATTGTACAATGTGGGGCTGTGAATCTTTTGGAATGGGGAGAAAATTTGTGCATGATTAAGGGCCTGTTTGGATAAGCTCATGCATGAGTTAAAAATAAAAATTTTAAAATGCTAATAGGAGAGAGTTTCTACAAAATAACTTATGTGTAAGCTAATTTTAGCATATGGAGAAGCTTATTTAATTTTTTTCTTCCTATTTTGCTCTTCTAAAAATACTTCCGGAGAAGTTTACCCAAACAGACCCTAAATGAATTTGTTACTTGGAAATCAGGAGAGGCTGAATGATGTAAAAGAGTTATTCTGGATAAATAATAAATTTTTTTACTACTTCTGGGTCTTGTGAAAAACTTCATACAGTCTACTAGAATTATGGTCTGTTGTTATTTTTGTTTCTGTAGTATGTATAGTGGGATTAATGAACGAGGCAGCTTTTAATGTGATTTTTAGGTTTGAAATAATCAATGTGATTCCTTTTTAAAACTTTGGAACTTATCAATGCATCATGCTTAAGTTGTTCTATAGATTCACTGAGTGTACAATTTGTATACTCAAGTTATTGCTTTCTTTTAGGTTTATTGAATGGAACTGACGCAGTTGAAACTCCTTGTATTGTTATTATGTCATTATTATAGCTTTTGACATATGAACAATGGAATGGTATGGTTATGATCCGATGATTATGTCTCCTTGCTTGGTTCTGCTGAATCTACCCTTTTTACTCGAACCAAAATGTACCAATTTTTAACCCCATGTCCAGTTTTGTCTATTTTTAAATGTACCCAACATGGAATACTACATGTCTCCATTCTAAATTTTCTACCAAATGCTAGCAATGTGTTAATTTTACCAAGAAAGACGACATTTCACAAGTTGATGTCGCATTGACCATCATATTTTCTTGCAGACTTCAGCAATACAAGGTTGTTGAAATGAAGCTTCTTGCTCAGCAAAGGGATCTTCAGGTTTTATTTCCTTATACATCTAATACTTTATGATCTATCTTAGATAAGCTACAATGAGGCATACATATACTATTATGTTATTATTGTTTTGTTGGTATTTTGATTATGGACCTAAAAGACAAGAGAGAAAGAAAAAGATAAAAATAAAACTAGTACTCTTTTGACGCTTCCATACCTAAGTCAAGGATCGACTCTTGGTTCTTGAATTAGGATTAAAAATGTCAACTTATTGATCTAACAACTTTTGATATCATGAAATGAAAAACAAATAACACAGTTTTTTAATTAGTATTTTAATCTGTATAATGTAAAAATATTTTTATTATATATAATTAAAATTTATAATAAATTA